GATTTCCGCTCCAAAATATATTTCTCAATCAATCGTAAATGTTCAAGTTAGTATGGTACCGGACAGTCAAAATATAACTACTTACTTAGTTACCTAAGAAGTAAGAAGTTCTCGCCTCTTCGTTCCCCATCATCTTGATTTAATATGCCGAGCAAAATCTGGGGAGGAGTACCAAGCCTTTGAAATGTTCAATCTTGTTTTTGAAAGACCCTCGGCATATATTTTTCATCAAGAAGTCGGCTGTTTGAATGCGAAGAAAACATACGCAGTTTTCGTTTTTCAGAAAGCATTACCCATTCTTGGGGGGCAACTGCCCCCCTTGCCCCCCCGCTAGCTACGGCCCTGCGATCAGAGAGCTCTGTCAATGCATAAGTATTACTTTTGGTCAAACGAAAAAGAGTGCTCTGTCCTTACAAGAGTAAAGTTGAGAAAGATATTATTCAGTCAGTGACCCAAGCTACTTGGAAAAGGAGTCGAACATATGACCTTCCGCACACCAGTCAGACGCTCTACCACTGAGCTTCAGGAGACTTGTGGGAGCTTAGGCCATATAACTAGGTTAAAAAGAGTGACCCTTACCTTTCTCTCACTCCAACACATATCAGAGGGTACTCCAGGTCTTGTTTCACAATCGGCTCAAAGAGAGGTGGTGGTGATGGGATGTCCACATCATAATACTGTCCAGAAGGAGGCAATAACAATCATTAATTACAGAATGAACCTTTGGGGATACTGTTACAGCAACTTAACAAAAATGTAGTGGGGTTCACCACGGTCAAACGCACAAGCATGTGCAAAGGCGTAAATTCTGGTCGCCCGCGCGCCAATTTCCTGCGCAAAATTTTAAAGGAAAACCATTGCAACAACCCGAAATCAAAACCTTGATAGTAATTTGCGAAAGGAAACAAAATTAAGTAAAAGGAATTAAGTTTAGACTTTTCAAACACAAAGTTCAGTATAATTATCATTTCCAGCATTCTGTTGATTTACCATTATTTTGGACGTTTACCAAAAAAGTTAGACGTGTTTAAAACCTGGTGTAATGACGAGGTTTATCGGCGTAGTTTATTTTTGTTTGACATTTGACTGCAGTGGAGTAGTGGGGTAGCCTACGATGGACTAGTATCCCATAGCTCTAGGGAGAGCAGCAATGTAAAACAAACAGCACCTAATACAAAAACACAAATATTGTAATCAGGTGCAAACATCACAGAAAAGAACAGGAAAATTGCATAGCCAAGAAGTTTTAAAATTCTCTCTTTAATAGTTTATTAACTAAAAGATCAATCAATCAATCAATCAATCAATCAATCAATCAATCAATCAATCAATCAATCAATCAATCAATCAATCAATCAATCAATCAATCAATCAATCAATCAATCAATCAATCAATCAATCAATCAATCAATCAATCAATCAATCAATCAATCAATCAATCAATCAATCAATCAATCAATCAATCAATCAATCAATCAATCAATCAATCAATCAATCAATCAATCAATCAATCAATCAATCAATCAATCAATCAATCAATCAATCAATCAATCAATCAATCAATCAATCAATCAATCAATCAATCAATCAATCAATCAATCAATCAATCAATCAATCAATCAATCAATCAATCAATCAATCAATCAATCAATCAATCAATCAATCAATCAATCAATCAATCAATCAATCAATCAATCAATCAATCAATCAATCAATCAGAGCTGGTGGGGTCGTGCACTTAATTGCTATTAACCTTAAAATGTATATACAAACCTTAAAATCTCAAAACTATATACTTCATTTATCTATATTTACATTATATGCATGCTTTATTGAATTTCGGAGTTTAACCTAGCTTTTACCTGAACTTTCATGAACCTGCCCCAAGGCTCATACCACTGGTAGAGAAGAACGCTCTTTTGAACTGCCGACACAAAGGTATACTTGACTGTTGTATGGGTTATTTACTGAAAAAAAGAATTGACAAGGATAGTGAAGTCTTAGATTGTTATCCACAATGTACAGTACTCAATAATAATTATCAATAATAATAATTATTGTGGGAGTCACTGTTTAACAAATAAAGAAGCCAAAACCATGTATAATACTGTCATAAAACACGACGGGAATTTGAGAACACGAGAGAAATTTAGAAAACACGAGCCGCAGGCGAGTGTTTTCTAAATTTCTCAAGTGTTCTCAAATTCCCGTCGTGTTTTATGACAGTATAATACATAGCCTGCGAGCAAGCTCTCTTGGCGTTTTTTGGGGGAAAAGAGAAAGAGCGGGGGAAAGAGAGCTTGCACTAATGTCTCAGAATTTTGAATGCCGTCCCCCAAAATCCCCCGCCGTTGCCAGCTTTTGAGCTGTCAAAATTTGGTCAATTGAAACTTCGTGGTCGTCTCAATTTTCTACGTAACGCAATGCCTTGTATTCGATCTCACACGCTCGAAAGTCGTTTCTCGAAAAGTACAAACGGGTCGAATCGAAAAACATCTCTATCGATAGGGGTTTCAAAACGCAGGACAGCTAGAATATTTGTTCCCCGTTTGTTAGAAATTCCGCTCTGAAATTTCTGTTGCAAGATTTTGCATATTTAATTACAAAAGCCAGTGTGTAGTATTTCCCAGTATGCTACGAAAAATGTTGTTTCTCCGGAACTACCGTACCATTTGACTCGAGAGAGGTCTCTTTGGAAAGCATTTTCAAAGCGCTGAACAGAAAAAATATTTAGTACGTGCCCCTTCGAAGTTTACTTCCAAAAATACCTGAACTAATTTTTCTGCATGAGTGATAAACACTAAAGCGTCATGTTTGCTAAGAAGACGTCATCAATTAATTAATTTCCACCAATCAGCATTTCGCGTATATTCAAAACTCTGAGACATCGTTGCAAGCTCTCTTTCACTTCCTGCCTCCCCGCCCCCCACCCCACACAAAAAACCCAGAGAGCTTGCTCGCAGGCTATATAATACATGGTTTTGGCTTCTTTATTTGCTTTAAAATATAGATTTAACGCGCGCGAAACGATAAAACACGGCTTTTTCTATGATTTATACTCTGATAAAACATGTTTTTTAACCAATCAGAGTGCGCGCATTTTCCAGTCTATGTTTTAAAGCCTAATAGTCTGCGCATAGGACTCCAGATAAAGAGGTCAGGGTTTAACCCGGGGGGTGGACTCCCATATGAAAGTGACGGGATGCTCACCATCTCGTTTAGGGGTGTAAATTACGGATTTTGGTATCGCTTAGGCCCGGGTCGCACTTGTGGACATGTTTGGTAACTTTAGTGGATTTCTTCAATTTAAGCGTCAATTATAGCAAAGACGAGTGCGACCTACGTTTTCAGGACGAACAACTTGTCCAAAAAGATAAAATAACAAAGAAGCCGCAGTCCTATGATTGGCCCGCGTCGCAAGTGTGCACGTTTTGAAATTTGTTTGATACAATAATTGCAAAACAAGTGCGACATGCTTGTTGTGAGTCGGACAAATTTTGTTAAAACGGACAAAACTTCAAAGGCGCAGTAGTCCTGCCCTGGAGCTGGACAAGCCACTTCCCCACGCACCGGGTGACTCCAGATAACAATGCTTTCTTGATTAACCATTGTGTTTTTCTCTGAGAATAAAAAATTTGCATTTTGCAGCACGTGTTGCCATATATTTGATTCCAATTTACCGCGGCCTCCAGGACTGGGTGCAAGTATAGTATGGTTTACGCCACCAAAACTGGATTTAAAATATGTGAATAACAATGCATTGTTTTTTTCGTTTGTTTCTATTAATTTTCTGTGGTAATCGTTACAGGTCGAACCAACTTCATGATTTTAATAATGTTGTGAAGGACAAAGCTGTTCTCCCCAAAGCCCAGAATTTGGTCATTTTACCGTCGTTGTTTTGCAGAGGACAGCTGAGGAATGTCCCAAGAGGTTTATAGTAGTAACTAAACCTTTTGTTACTCAACAAGATGTCTCTGACAACATGTCCTGACAATTTTTTTGGAAAATGTTGGGATATTTCAAAACTTGTCTGCAAGTGCGACCCGGGCCTTAGGGTGTTTAGGACGGAATGCTGACATTTTTAGCCATTGAGGTATCGTTTAGGGTTGCACGCAAGGAAATTAAAAAAAAACCCCACTGTCATACTGTGTTGGTAGTCTCATTACCGGAGATCGATTGCAACTTAATTAAAGCGGTAACTATAACTCTTCTTTGCCTCTTTTAGAATGGTATCTTTTAGGGGTCAAATGAAGCTTGAGCCATGCCCAGATTGGTCTCCTTTAGGGGTTTAATTCAAAATTTCTGACGCAGCAGGACTCCCAGGACATCAAGTTCGCTCGCCGATTTTCGTTTCGCCCTATATGTCCAAAACATTGTCTTACCAATACAGCACTTTGAACAGCCTCTTGTTTCTGAAATTCTATTGTTCCTATGGAGAGAAAAAAATGAAAAGACACTGATGATGTGTATGCTAATTCTATTATATTTTGTACATCACTTTAATCTGGTTTTGCTTGTTGTTGATGTTGTCGTTCTTGGACAAGACAGTTTACATGTAACTCTCACAGTGCCTCTCTCCACCCAGGAGTATAAATGGTACCGGTGAACTGTTACGACAACCTAACAAAATACTGGGGGTAACCTGGCATTGGACTAGCATCTCACCCAGGGGAGTAGCAAATAATACTCCTTGTCGGCTTCATGCTATGGAAACTGGGATAAACTCCAGTAGTGTGGGCCAGTTTGGCCCCGAACAGGTTGACCTTTAATCGTGACACGTACCTTGTCACTGTGGCAAAAAATGCCTGTTGTCTGTCATGAAGAGTTTCTAAATTGTGCATGTACACACAGCTGGGAGATCCTGTGAACACAAGGCAAATGAACTTGAATTTCTCTGTACTACACAAGGATGATCAACAGCTAACTACTTCTTACAACACCAATACATTGAGAAAGATGTTAATTCAGTTTGTCACGAACATGGGACAAAGAAAAATCTGAGTCCCTGATGGGAGTAGTCAAACCATGACCTTCCGCACACCGGTCGGATGCTCTAACCACTGAGCTACAGGGAGACTTGTGGTGAGCTAGGTCATTTACCAGGTTCATATCAATACATTGTCAAGCAGACATGTGATGAGAATAAAGAAAATCATCGACTACGAGATATTGTCTTGATTATTATTTGATGTGCCACCTGATCAACATTTAAATAAATGTAAGCAATCAGTAAAGGTTGTGGTACACAGGTACAGTACCTTGAAGTGACACCATCATGTTTTGAAAACTGACAGCCATGTACATCTTTTAGCGCAAACCTAACAGGAAACCAAAAGAACAGGTAAATATGTACACTTCATTAAAGAGGGAGGATAGGGGGGTCTGAACTTCCCACTTCCTGTAGAGTTTACCCCAGTTCCTACCCCTTCCTTAGTGGCTCCCGCTTCTTTTGATTTTTCTACTGTGACATATTACACAATCATGCAATTTTTTTCTTATAATTTTCTCAAGAAAATATGCAGCTCCTGATTGGTCAATGATGAGTGCATAAATAGGTTATAGAGTGCAATACGGAATTGTGATAAACGGTACCGGATTTGTAAGTAGAGACTCGATAGAGATGTTTTGCCGCTTAATGACAGAAATAAGCTTTCAAGTTCATGCTTAAATATGTTCTGAACTACAGTACTGTGATTCTTTCAAAAATTTCACGCTTGGTTTGCCTGTGCATTCAAATAAACCTGTCAGCACTTTGGAAACCAGTGAAGCGTTTTGTGTGCAGAGTTGCTTGATGGCCACAGAATATTATAAACAAAAAATCGTATGAACTGCTCGTGCATTAATTTTTGTGATTTATGGGCATGAGTGATGTTTTGAAAGTTCTCAAAATTGCACAAGCCTTTATACTTACTTCTCCCGGTTCCTGCCACCTTGGGTTTCCCACTTCCCACCCTCTCTTATCCCACCTCCCATAGACTTCCCACCCCCTGTCTCCCCAAAGAGAAAGCGATCTTTGTACTGAGGCAGCAACTTCTGCAGCAGCAAAGAATTTCCATTATTACCTGTTCCATTTCTGCTTCATGTAACTGTTCACTGAAGTTTAGAGAATAGACACCTTCCTCTGCTCCTACAATGATGTGTTTTTCTACAAAGGAAATGAAACAGCAATAATAATTATTATTATAGTACAAAATGTCAGTAACACAACTTATTATATGGCAAACCGGTCCACGATGGAAAGGAACTTTCTGATTGGTTCCCTGAGCAGTCCGAATTTTGCAATACGGACCGCAAAGATGGACCGCTCACGAACTCATTTCGCCAAATTCCTTTTATGAAACATTGAACAAAAGTAAACTGTTTTCTATTAAGAAGAAAATTTTTTCCTCATGTCTGGCGGACAATTTTGGTTAAACTTTTTGCAAAGTGGCCTGAAAAATGCAAGAATACGCTTAGCTTTGGCGCGCACGTTAGCCGAGAATGGTTGCACTAATTTCTCAGCAAATTTGTTAAAAAGCCATTATAATAAAAACTTTATTGAACTAGCTTGTTCGGTCCGTATTGGGAAATATTGGTCTCGTTCTTTTTTTGCAAGTTTATGGACCTCGCCTTCGGCTCGGTCCATAAACTTGCAAAAAAACAACTCGACCAATATTTTCCCAATACGGACCTCACGCTAGTTCAATAACATCTATATCTTTTTATTTTTATTTTTTATTATTTTTTTTATTTTTTATTATTTATTATTTTTTTATTTTTTATTTATTTATTTATTTTTTATTTTTTATATTTTTTTCAGTAACACAACATCATAGATTACAACATTTCCAGTACTGGTTCTTAAAGGGCACTATCACAGGGATTTTGCTGCTAATTTGGTCAAAATGGTGCTAAAAATAATTATGACTAAAGCCCTGGCGAAATGGAGATGCAAATACTGTAGATGCAAGTTTTGAAATATGAACATGCGTACAGACTTGCATTGGGTAGCCAAATGGTGAGAAACTTGGTTCTATTGCGCCCAAATTTTATCTCGATCAAAGTGGACGCAAGTCAACGCAAGTGTGCATGCAAATCCTGGCCAAACAAAGTCCCAAGTAGACACAAGTTGGGGAGGGGGGGGGGGGGGGGGGGGGAGGAGAGGAGAAGGCATGGGGCGGGAACACAGAAGTAAAGGGGTGAGGAGGCAGGATTCCCAAGGTAGCAGGAACTGGGAGAAATAGGAAAACATTTCACAACATTGCATAAAAAGAGGTTATTCAGCGGAACATTGTGTAATACGGCTGGGTATTTTTACGAGTCAGTTTTTATTTTTTCGAGCCTTTCTCTCCTAAAATATAGGCTTTCAACAGTGTTTTCCGTAGCGCGCGGTCAGGAGGACTAAGACCTGTGTAATACGGTCTCATATTTGCACTAAAATGCTATGTCGTATAATAATAATATCTTGTAATGAGAAAAGCACAAAGATGCGAGAACTACAGTGGATGGGACGGGAACCGGAAGTACAAGGTACGGAAGTTCAGATCCACAGTCTACATGTATATCTATTAGCTTAATTCTTACAGTAACTATCATGTTAACTTTTGTAAAAAGTGTAAGAAACCAGGAATTTTAGCAGTGTCACAAGTTGCTATTACAATGTACCTCCTGTGTTAGGGTTCATCCAGAGCCCAGTACAGTAGATATGAAGTGGACATTCATTGAAGATCTTTGAAAAACATGTTGTAATCTGTTTATATGGAAGCAAAGGAGAGAGAACAAGCTATTAGTATTAAATATGTGGGATTACAACTTGACTAAATACGTTCTTCTACCACTGAGATATGTGCATAAATTTTAAACAGCTTTTAAACAGCTGATGAGTAACACATTCAAGTTACTGTAATTTTCTTGTGGCTCTTTCCACTTTGTCCTCCCAACCCTTATTTAACCTCACTGCTCTGTTCTCACTTCTCTTCCACCCCATGTCTGCCTCCTTAACCCTCTTCTGGCCAAATTCTCCCTCCCCCAACTCTCCTCCACACATGTCTCCCTCCCCCACACCATCCTTGTCCCTCTTCTTACCCATATCTCTCTATCCACCCCTCTTCCACCCAACCGTTCTCTTTCCACCCCTCTTCCACTTCTTCTACCCTATGTGTCCCTCCCAAACTCTCTTCTACCACATGTCTCCCTACTCATCCCTTGTCCACCCAATCTCTCTCTATACCCCTCTTCTACCCTATGTCTCCCTCCCCATGTCTCACTACCCACCCCTCTTCCACCACCCTCCCCCTCCTATAATTTCACCTGCTCAGCAACATTCCTTGTAACAAGATAACAAAATAAACAGGTTTTGCATTTGGACTTACAGATGTTTTCTTGGCAGCAGAAAGTCTTCCTGGGTCAGATGACCGTGCTCCAACAGGAGGTTTCTGTATGATAAATGAAAGATCTCATTTTATACCAGGCATGTAAGAGGCAAGATCAATTGGTGATGTGAATTGTCATTTTCTTCACCCTGTACCTCTGCTAGTCACAGCCATTTGGGATTTTGCAAGACAAAACTGAAAAGTTCAAATGTCATATTGTTTTCAAGATTTGACACTTGTGGCTTAGTATCATCAAATAAAGTTGATAGTAAAATAATATAAACAACATAGTGCAAATAAATAACAAATAAACACAAGTTACCGGAGGAGGTACGCTTGGAGGTGGAACCCTGTTTTGTGACTCAGAAAATGTCCTTGGCTTTCCTTGAGGTGAGTGTTGGCCAGTCTCCTGCGCACTGGCAGCTCGTGACAGCTTCAAGTGTACTGGCTTGGGTGGAGGGACCGGCTTCATGCTTGGCTGCGGAACTTGGTAGTGGGAATTCCTGTTGCCTAACTGTAGACACAATAACATTTTGAGAAAGATGTTTATCAGCCAGTGACACAAGTTACTCAGAAAAAAAATTCTGAGTTCTCCCAACAGGAGTCGAACCTATGACCTTCCGGTCGGACGCTCAACCACTGAGATACAGGAGACTCGTGGGAGCTTAGGCCATATAACTACAATTTGACAATACCTGTTGAGACAAATCAAGCTTACACACTTTATACAAGTTGGGAGCTGAATATACACGCAGAAAAATAATATTTCCCCCCTCCCCTTATTCAATGTTGTCTTTAAAGGCTTAAAATATTGTGGCGTACACATTCAGACCAAAACAACATTGATTAGAGGGGAGGGGGAAATGAAAATGACCACGAAACAAGCGTACAAGCAAAAAATGACTCTAATTACCGGTAAGTTAAGTGTCTCAACAGTATTGTCCAAGATTGTAGGTTTAAATGTTACAAACTTCCCGCATACTGCTAGGATTAGTTATGTCAATACGTGTGGAAAGAAATAATGGTGAATTAAAGCTTGGTAAAAATATGACAAATATGTTAATCAGTCCATGACACGTCAAGCTGCTCGGAAAAAGAAAATCAGAGTTCTCCCAACAGGAACGTACAATAACATTTTAGTAAAATGTCAATAAAATTTTGCTTTCTTTACAGTATTGCTAGATATAGCAAACACTCAAGAACGTTTGGGAGAATTGACGTCTCTGTTCACTCCACTGCACACACTTGATTAGTCAAATCAAACACAACCCATCAGAAAGACGTCAAAATTACCACTGAACTCCTCTGCTCAGAGTGGTTTGCAAAAGATTTCCATCAATCAATCATGAATGCATGTCATACCTTATATGGAAGGTATTTCACTCACAGAAAAATCAAACACTTCCATATATAGGGTATGACATGTACATACATGTATGATTGATATAAATCTTTTGCAAAAACCCTTCAGGAGAGAGTTTGACTTAAAAGGTTGCATAACAATGAAATCGGTGGTACAGTAATATGTGTAAAAAAAACTTTGCCAACTAGAATGGTAACTAGTATGCTTCTAGATGCTGATAACTACAGTACTTGTACGTGTACATGTACACACACAAACACAGACCAACTGTCATATAAACCAAACCTTAGGGGGCAGGGGTGGGGGCTCATCTTCCACTGGCTCTTTAAGAACTTTCATTGTTCCACCGTCATCATCACTAAA